CACTGTCTGCTAATTATAATGTTAATAGTGAGAAATATGTTTGAGATTAATGAGTTATGTATATTTCATAGCTTTTCTTTTTTTTTTTTTTAATGCCCTACCTTTCATAGATTAATTTGGCTAGTTTATCACAGACTGGCAACTTTAACTGTGTAGAAATGAAAGCTTACTCTCTAGAATCAGTATGTTTTATTGGGCATTATGCTTTTTTCTCTTTTGATTCCTTTTTGGTTCTTGTTTCTACTACTCTTTCCATATTTGCTTTACTTTCTTTGTTTTCTTTTACCCTTTTCTGCTGATTTCTTCTCTTTTCCCTTTTAGCTTTCTATTATTTAGTGGACATTAACTCCTTTTTAAGAATAGCCTCTGATTTTAACTACTCAAACCTAACAATATGAAACACAGTGTCACCTGAATTCCTTACTAAACATGTTGTGTATCATATTATAAAAGGAATAAGTAAAATAAATTCTTTTAAAATAGTTCATAAAAACTGTGTATGTGTGTGTGCTTTCATGTCTGTGTGCCTATAAGTGATTAAAAGAAATGAGAAAGCAAGCCATTTAAAGTTACATCAAGTCTGAGCTATACATCTTGCTTTGAGACTTTGAGTTAGTTAACTCTTTTTGGCTTTGTGTCCTCATTTGTATGGTTCACAAATTACTCAAAACTTGGACATGAGACAAAGGAAGACTGCAAGTTTTTTCAGTGTCACAACAGAGAATTGTGCCACAGGCTCATTCAAAGATTATTTTACTGTCTAAGGTGAGAGTTTACCAAATTTTGACCCACAAGTGAAATACAGCCCAAGGCCTGTGTTTGTTCATTCTTGAGCTAAAAATGGATTTTACATTTTAAAAAAATTGAAAAAAGGAAAACAAATAGAAACATATGAAAAAATGCTCATCATCTCTAATCATCAGGGAAATGCAAATCAAAACCACAATGGGATATCACTTATCTCCAGTGAGAATGGCCTTTATCAAAAAGTCCCAAAACAATAAATGTTGGCATGGATGTGGACAGATAGGAACACTCCTACACTGCTGGTGGGACTGCAAACTAGTGCAACCTCTGTGGAAAGTAATATGGAGATACCTCAAAGAGCTACAAGTAGATCTACCATTTGATCTGGCAATCCTATTACTGGGCATCTACCCAAAGGAACAAAAGACATTCTATAAAAAGGATATCTGCACTCGAATGTTTATAGCAGCACAATTCACAATTGCAAAGATGTGGAAACAACCCATGTGCCCATCAATATATGAGTGGATTAATAAAATGTGGTATATGTATACCATGGAGTTCTACTCAGCCACAGAAAACAATGGTGATCTAGCACCTCTTGCATTATCCTGGATAGAGCTGGAGCCCATTCTACTAAGTGAAGTATCACAAGAATGGAAAAACAAGCACCACATGTACTCACCATCAAATTGGTATTAACTGTTCAACACTTAAGTGCACATATAGTAATAAAATTCTTCTTCTGGTGTCAGGCAGATGGCAGGGAGAGGATGGATACATACACATCTAATGGGTGTGGTGCACACTGTCTGGGGGATGGACATGCTTGAAGCTCTGACTTGGGCACTATATGTAACCTAAACATTTGTACCCCCGTAATATGCTGAATAAAAAATAAAAATAAAAAAAGAAATAGAAACAAATGAAAATGTGACAGAAACCTCATGTAGCCCACAAATGCTAAAATATTTACTGTCTGACTCTATGGAAAACATTTGCCCACTCCTGCTCTGGAGGAATGGACCAGGACTGACTTACTGTGTACTACTGGCCAGGATATAGATTGGCGATGATTGGAGAGGCGATAGGAGTTTGAGACCAGCCTGAGCAAGAGCGAGACCCTTTCTCTACTAAAAATAGAACAATACAACCTGGTGTTGGATAAGTAAGTATGAATTTATTTGCTTATCTTAAAAGACAGCCTTGGTATTCTCTATGGGACTCCAAATAAGGGCCTCTCTGAGTTATTCCATTCTCTTTCCTTCTTAAAAGATTATTAATTTTTAGAGCAGTTTAAGTTTCATAGAAAAATTAACAAGAAAGAGCAGAGCTCCCCCGTCTACCCCCCACCCCCACAGGCATGGCCTCTCCCGCCATCCGCCCCACAGAGTGGTGCACTTGCCACAGCCGGGAGCCCCCAGCACCGCCCACAGCCCGCGGCTGGCCTTAGGGCTCACTCTTGGTGTTTTACATTTTTTAAATGATGTACAACATTTAAAAACTTTTAGATACATTCTACCATAAAGTTGTTCAGTTATTTTCTTATAGTAATGTGCCCAGGAAATCATGTTTCTCAAGGCAGCTGCCTGAAATACTCATGCTTAATAAAACTCTTTATATTTGTTCAATTCAAATATGATTACATGTTACAAGTTAGATAACTTGTCTATGTTCAATTAGTGCTAAATATTATTTTAAATTCATGAAACATTATTATTTATTAAATTTGGGATTATAAACAATAGTGCAATAATGCAATTGAATCCTTGTAACTAATATTCACTTGTTCATATGAAATATTTTATTAAAAATAAAATATTTTAATTAAAATCTATAAAAAATAAATGTGAAAATTATTCAACATATTTAAATTATGAAACATTTAACTTTTTTCCTATCAGTTTTTTAAAAAGAGCCACCTAATTATTATATTTTATCTCTAAGTTGTCATTATTCACATCATTAATGACCCAAATATTATATCTATTTTTAATGAATGCACAAAAAATAAAAATATTGGAACAAAGAACCCACACTATATTTGTAAGACATTAATTGCTTCAAAATTCTTATTTGTGAAAATAGAAATAAGTGAAATGATGTTTTATGTGAGACATCCAGGAATAATTAAATAATCATCAGTCAAAGAAAAAATATGAATTGAACCAAGCAATTTTTGTTTCTTGGAAATACTCATAGGTGACTTCAATATAGACATAACACAAAGCATAAATATTTGATAACTAACCAATGGCTTCATTAAACTTCATTGTTTATTTTTTTCTTTACTAGACATTCAATTCTATTTTTGCATCTTAAACAAAATAAAGAGGAAAAATGATGTGGTTTCTTAAAACATAAGGTCTTCAAATGAAAAACATTATTTTCTCACCTGTTATACTTGGAAACACACTAATATCTATTCATTTATTATTGATATTAATTATACTATGTTGTATATGTTTAAATACACTATATGTAGTAATCACATAGAACATATAAAAATTTGTCCAAAATGGCATCTCTAAAGTAAACAAGTTATCACTTAATATTCATTCCTGATGGTTCCTAATTAAAATGCAATGGCAAATCTGACAAAACAATAGGAGGGACATTGTTTGTGTGACTTTTTATTCCTATAGTAATTGATTGCTGCTTTGACAACATCTCATCGTTTTCATATAGTATGAAAAGAGTTTACTTTGAGTTAATTGGCATCTTCATGAAATGAATTACACAAGTGTGTGGTTGGGAAGCAAATCAGGCCCACATCCAATACAACTGGGGTGAGACTGTTATGTAGGGATTGTGTGAGTGAAAGCTAGAATTGGAATTTTTGCATGAGAAATAAATGTATAAAAACTACTGACACTGAGACCAAATTGTTTTTGTTTTTAAAGAGAATTTTCTTTTTTCAGAATAAATCTAAGTAGTTTTCTGATAATAATTCATATTGATTACTTATATTAGGACATGGCCTGTATGATCCAGAATATTGGCTGAACAGCTTCCTTTTATTTTTGAGACAGAGTCTCACTCTATTGTCCAGGCTAGAGTGCCTTGGCGTCAGCCTAGCTCACAGCAACCTCAAACTCCTGGGCTCAAGCAATCCTCCTGCCTCAGCCTCCCAAGTAGCTGGAACTACAGGCATGTGCCACCATGTCAGACTAATTTTTTCCATATATTTTTAGTTGGCCAATTAATTTCTTTCTATTTTTCGTAGAGACAGGGTCTCGCTCTTGCTCAGGCTGGTCTTGAACTCCTGATCTTGAGTTATCCTCCCGCCTTAGCCTCCCAGAGTGCTAGGATTACAGGCGTGAGCTACCACGCCCAGCCATGATCAGCTTCCATATAGATAAAAGGAAAGAAAATTCAACCTAAATTTAGTCCATAATGATGGACTTAAACTTTTCTTGAAGTTTCAGGAAAGACATCTAGACTATTTTCTAAAGTTATGGCCCAGATACAGAAGCATTGCTACTATGATTTAAAAGATGAAGATGAGCCTGGGCGCGGTGGCTCATGCCTGTAATCCTAGCACTCTGGGAGGCCAAGGTGGGAGAATTGCTTGAGGCCAGGAGTTTGAGGCCAGCCTGAGCAACAACATAGGGAGACCTCATCTCTCCAAAAAATAAAACAATTAGCCAAGCTTCGTGGTGCGCACCTGCAGCCCCAGCTACTCAGAGGGTGAGGCAGGAGCAGTGTGAGGTTGCAGTGATCCACAAGACGCCACTGCACTCCAGCCTAGGCCACAGAGGGGGCCTCTGTCTCAAAAACAAATAAATAAAAGAGCAAGATTATATAAACTTAAAAGAATCATTATTGGTGAAATTATTGATATTTGAAATGAAAATAAATTAAAAAGAATTTTAGATAAATTTGTGGATTATAGCACAACAGTTTGTTAATAATAAAGCTAAGATTCTTTTAGAAATATATCATTTTACTTCTTTGGGTCTTACCTAGTCGAGGGTAAACATAAATTGCCTTAAAACATATTCTGTAGAAACTGCCAGAAAATGTAAAACATTGTGGTTGGGAAAAGTCTTCTCATAGTTTGAATGTCATTTCTATTTAAATATAATTTTGTTAATGTTTTATTTATTATTTTAGTTTTTTTTTTTTTAGCAAGCACTATGAAACAAAGACTTTTTGTGCAAATGTAGAACTATAAATTACAACTGGAAACATGCATATGATGTACTATGTATGTTAAAATGCTTCAGAACATACCAAAGTTCCTGTTGATGACAAATACATGCCAATAAAATGATCAACTCTCTCTTGATGACCCATTGTATAAGAGAAGACCGATTGGGAAGTTCCTGTAACATCTGCCTTACTTTAGTTTTTAATGTAAACACTTCATTTCTGAAAGCCAATGGAAACATTTTTAGAAAATGACATTTCACAGTCATTGAATATTTAAGAACAGTATCCGAAATGTTAATATGGTTATGTATTTTTAATCTTTTCATTTAAAAATTTCATCCATAAAATCACTCATTGATGATAACTCATGAGATAATGTGTGGAGTGAAAGAGGCATGATAATGTCTCATGAGATAATGTATAGAGTGAAAGAGCCATGTGTGAGAGATGTACATCTGATATTTTACTGAACATCTTCACTACTAAGTATTCCATAAACCTGTAGTTGTTTCCTTTTCTGTCTTATTAAATCAGAAAACCTAGAATTATCACTTGGGATGGGGAGTGAGTTGAGGAGGTGGGTAATGCTATTGAAGGTCTTTGGTTGGAATTCTATTAGAGGTAATTTAACATTTAATTTTCAACCCACCATTTTGACAACTGCTGTATGTTTTAGGTACCTACTTCTAGGTGGTGAAGGTTTGGTTTGTGGCTTCCTTCACATCATTAGAGAAAACTTGAGAGGCAATCATTAAACACGGAGTCTTGCTCTATGGTGACAAGAAAGAAGTTGCTAACAGACTATAAAGAGGCCGTTCAGAGACCCAGCAAAAGGGAGCGTGCCTGGGTATCTGAGGGTAGTAGGAATTTGGGCTGAGACCTCAGCATGGTTCTGCACTGGGGAGGGGACGACACCGCCCTGTTGGAACAAGGAGTGAGGGTGGCCCCGTGGGGAAAGCAGGGCTCTGATCCGCCCAGCCACTTACCAGCTCTGTGACCTCAGGAAATACCTGGGGTTTCATTTTCTCCCCATGTCTAAAAGAGGGTATGTGGTTTTAAATTCTAAGGTTTCTTTGATCCTCAAAAGTCTATTTCATCTCTGGGAGTAATTTTTAAATTTCCCATTTAAATAGAGAGTAAATTAAGGTTGGAACCTCCAGAATAAATGTTGAAAAGTATATAGCTGTTTCCACCAGTGCACCTGAAGGCACACTGAATACTTCACAACCAATTTGTATTTATGCTTTCCTTTACAGAATTTGCAAATGTACAGGGAATATTACATTTGCATATGTTTAAATGTTTATTTTTCATAACAGAAAGGAGACAAAATTTTGTCTATCAAATGAGTAGTTTGTAGAAACATAAAATAAGCCATGTTATTTTTTCCTTCATTTTTTAATGTTTAATCTCAAAATAGAAATGTCAATACAGATAAATAAATCTGCGCAAATAAAATGAAAACATAGAAGATATATTGAATCTTTATAGCTTCTCATATTGACATGAAATTATTCATACTTATTACAGAACATTTATATATCTAGAAAGAGACAACTTTAAAAACATTTGAAAATAATACATTCACAAAATTTATGAGTTTATAAACAAGTTCCAGTGCTGAAGAGTGAATAGATACTTCACAATTGAGTAGATAATGAATGTTGCAACATTTTTTATTTTATGGGACAATTACTGCTATGGATTTCGTCTTATAAGGGCTTATCCATGCACCTTATTCTTCATCTTTCCTTTAAATTACTATTAATATAAGACAATCAATATTCTTCAGCCTCAAGACCCTTTTTATACATAAGTCTATGGGAGGTCATTGAATTGAACCAAGTGATGTATTTTGAAAAATTTTGGTCTATTGTATCATCAGACATACATATAAATGTGCATACATTCCTGAAATTTTTCTTTTTAATTAATTTGAGAATCATAGCCATTTAGACAACCACTAATGATTAGAAATAGTTGGAAAGAAATAGTTGAAAAGAAACAGTTGAATGCACTAAATTAAGGGTTGTATTTTGTTTTCAAATTTCTCTTTTTACATAAGTGAGGTTTTGAATAAAACAATTGTCTTTACAATTATGTATACAATGCTAAACAGTCTTCCATCCTGCAACATGAAGATATATAGTTCGTTAATGTATAATGTTATAAGAATATCCACTTATGGTTTAGGAGTGTAATACATCTCTATAAATTTCCTTTGTACTCCTCCAGTAAGAGATTTTTAGGTACCTTACAAAGTGAAAAATTCTAAACAAATGATTTATAAATGCAAGCATGATATATAAAAAATTATTATTCTGTTAGAGTAAAAAATGTTTTCTATGCCTTAAAAATTATATTGTGTTTGTCTCTTTAAAATATTTTAGTTCTGAAGTATAACAATTAATGAGTTTATCATTTACCTTCTTCACAAGAAAGGGAGCCATTTTTTATGATTTCCAACCTGTTGGCTATTTACCAATTGCTTATAAATCTCTGACTTTAGAAATCGAGGAAAAGAATCCTTGGCCATAAGACTGTAGATTAATTTCTGAGCCTCATCAAAGCATTTGAGAGTTGGTTCAGCAATGTTCTTTGAGATGAGGTCCCTGGTACTGAAATCAATGTTAATCTGTGGAAAATAAGGTTGCATGATTATTGGATTAATTCGATCAAAGACTACATGGTTTATACAGATGGTAGATACATATATTATTTGCATTTTTTCCCAAGCACAAAGCTAATCTGATGCAAAATAGCAGGAGAATCATGCATTCATTTTCTGGAATGCAGAACACACAACTGGTTTAATTATTTTTCCTAGCTTGACAGGGGTGGCATTCACTGGGAACAGAGGTGAAATAAGATACTTTATGACTTTAAATTTCTTTTCCCACCTCTCCCTTTTTTCCACTAGCCTTTTGACCTGAATACCTAAGATGTGCTTCCCATAGGCAGAACCACAACTAGAATTTACTAGGTTGGAATGTGCCAACCCATGCCCATTCTTTATATTTTTCCCTATTCTATGCAACATTGCTTTTCTTTCTAATTCGTATTTCATTTTGTTTGAGAAAATGGACAAAATATTACCCAATTTTTACTGATCCATGTCTTTCACACAGAATATGTATGCTTTATAAAATCTCCTCATTTCCTCACTACCACCACACATAGTTGTCCTGGTAAGGTCTAATAGATCTATTGTATTGGAACACACCATTCACCTGAAAATGTATAAAATGACCCAAACCTTCTGGTGGAGATACTTGCCCAACTCTACACATATTTGAGAATATATTCTAAAAAGCAGAAAATTTTATGTCCAAGATATCTAATCTAAATTGAAAATATCCATGAAGTTCAAGAGATAAGTGTATCTTAAAATGAAAAGCTCACCAAAGGCAGTTGCTGTATCTGTCTTATTCATCATTCTATTTTCTGGCACTTGGCAGAATACCTACCATATAATAGGCAATCAATAAACATTTGTTGAATAGAATTAAAACATCTTTTGGCACAATATGGGAGATGGTTATAGAATTTTGGAATCTGGTAAAAGAAAGACTATAAATGACAATTTATACTGCATTAAATCAAGGTTAAACAGTAGGCAGACAGACCTGCAATCAAATCCTTCCTCACCTACTTATTTGCTATTTGTATGAATGAAGCAATTTCTGTAATTTCCTTTTCATCTTCAATCTTCGTGACGTAAAAGAAGAGAATAGTAATAGCACCTATCTTAAAGTGTTTTAAGGATTGAATAGGTTATATCAAACTATTTTAATGTTATTATTCTAGGAAGAAGAAAGGAAGAAAGAAAAAATCAATTTGAAAGGAGTCATTAAAAGGTCATGACTTGTTCACAGATGTTTTCTTTCTTTATGGATTCAGCTGCTCATTAATCCCAGCATACACCTGCCTTTGATTATCCTCTTAGGTGCCTCATCAGTTCCAGATAAAATGCCAAAACTTCCTCAAAAGCCTCCTCACTGTGCAGGACCACGGTGCGGGGCGGGGACAGCCTTCGGGACCGTTTCCAAGCCTGCGCACTAGCGCTGCTGACGGCGGTGGTCTTGGGGGACGGATTCTGCGCTTCTGATTCCTTATCTTTCAGCTACTGCTATGACAATATTTGACTAAGAATGAAAGAATTTAGTAAGAATAAAAATGAGTTAATCCATACATTTATTGATTGCACAATATTTATGAGTGTCTATTGTGTGCCAAATGTTATCGATATTTGGGAGAAAACAACTACAATTAAATAAATAATATTACTTTCGATTTAAAGTCGAAGGATAAGAAGCCAGTCGCTTAAGAGTCTGGGGAAAAACATATCTGGCTCCATAAACGGCTAATGCAAAGCCACGGCGGAGAGAAGAATGGCTAGTCACGCAGGGCCACTGCGTCTGAGCGCCTGGAGGGTGGAGTGTGAGCAGGAAGTCCTGTGATGAAGTTGGAAGAGGAGATCCAGGCCGGGTCTTGTAGAGCTCGTGTGCTGGGGGCAGGAGTTCTTATTTTTATGCCAGAAGCATTAGGAAGATATGGAAGGGTTTTGAGCAGGGAAGTGGCCTGATAACTTATATAATGAACCTAGTATAGTGCCTGCCTCATAGTGGGAATTGATGAATTGTGGCTATTAAGATCTTGTAGTGGTTCTTAAATATCTGCTATAGCCAGTTTCATAACACTATCTTGTGTGGATATGAAAACATATATTGCCTGTTTCTGCATGTAACTATATTTCTGATTCTTTAACAGCATCGTCTGTGATTTAACTTTATATTCCCCTAATAGTAAGTATGGCAACTTAACCTATTTCAGTACTCAACAGGGGACTTTTGACTGACAGTAGGGCCAACGTGGGCCTCATGCACACTGTTGGCTTATTATTATGATCAGAATTGAACACCTATAATAGTTCCCCATTTCCCATTTAAAAAGTCCAACTATTATGTACCATAATCATTAAAAATTAAAAATAAAAAAATTCACAGCCCAGATTTTGGCATTCACAATCTGGCCTTTACAATGGTAGTGCCAACTTACACATTTCTTCTCTTCTATGTGTGCCCTGTATGCCCACTATACTAGACAATCCCCCTCACATTATCTGTCTTTTCTCACTTCTGAACATTTTCTCATAATATCCCAGTCTACCTGAAAGTCACTCTTTTTCACCTAAGTATTTCACAAGTCTTTTTGTCCTTAAGGCTTAATTCAAATAACATCTAACGAATGCAGTTTAGTTGTGGATTCTTTTTCTTTCCTGACGTCTCAAAGGCTTTTGTGTTGCTGAGATGACACTTACACTGTGTTTATCCTTCACTGTGGCTGGCACACTGTAAGGACTCAATAAATATGTTGAATAAATCAAGTGAAAAATGATTTTATATTCGTTCAAAATCATGTCTAAATTTTAGAAAGAACTATTCCATTTCAACATAATAATAATAATTAATATTATTATTGAAACATATTAAGCTTGTCCTTCTAACTTATTCTTTTAATTTTTCTGGTTTGCCTATTTTCCTACCAAGGAACTGCCAGCATCAGCTATTGATAGCTAAGTGATGAGCAGATATGCTGCTCCCAGGAGATACTCAGTGGGCTTATGAGATGTCTTGGCAATTCAGCTTAATGTCAGTGACAAAACACCACACCCACGTGTTTATATAAATGTCATTATTTTTCTCTAAGTTGTTCAAGCTAGAAACATAGGAATCGTCTTTAACACTTCTTTTTTCTCTGATCTGTTATCTAGTGTGTGTGTTCGTGTGTGTGTCTGTGTGTATAATTCTGCCTTTTATTTTGTAATTTCATAATGATCTTTTTGATTCTCACTCTTATTTTCCTAGCTTAGGCTTTCATAACTAACCTCTTCCCTAAGCTATTAAATTTATCACTTATCTGATACCTCTTCTTGCAGTGTCTTTCCCTTCTAAATACTGTGAACATTATTACTATACAAATTCACCAAAATATCCTTTTATCATATGATTTTCAGCTGAAAACCCATTATTTTTTATAATAAAATTTATACATCTTACCCTTGCATTTGAGATTCCTTATACCTAATTTTAACATGTTGCTTCAAAATCAACTTCTACTGTGTTTAGTATACCCATAAAGCTGGACTACTTTTGTTCCCAGAGTGAATCTGTCACCTAAAGCTTTTATTTATGCTGTTTCATCATTTACAGTCCCTCCTGCCCCACAATCGTATCCTGTACAGATTTTCTTCCTCCATTATGATTTACCTTCAGTTAAATATTCTCTGAGAAGCCTTCCTTGACCACAGAAGGAAAGTCATTATAATTTCCTTGTGATTATATGTAATTTAGATTTAAAAATCTTAAGAAATTTGATTTCTTGCTTAAACAGATTTGGATATAAAAGCTTCTGTTAAGTATTCAATATGATTATCAGAGAAAGAAGATATGTCACTATAAAGGTAATTCAATAATTCACGATGTGGAATTAACCTGTCTTTTATTTACTATCTTTTCCCTATTTCTTTTACCAATTCCTTATTTTCCACAAGTCCCTCAAAAATATGAGCATAGCAAATATGCATTCTCCAAATTCTGTCCCAAACCTTTTCTTTCAAGGCTTTTTTCCTTGGTGACTCTGTCTTCTCCAAGAGCAAAATATTTTGAGTAATAACATCGACTCTAAAATAATCATAAGGATATTTCAAGATAACTATTTTAACTGTAAATGATAAGTTATTTTTATTGACTATTAGCACTGATGTGTAAGTCTGCAAATGGCTACTTTATGCTAAATATCACACACCCACATGACTATAAGATGGATCATATCATTTGGGCAAAATCAGCTGACATATATGTGAAAAACTATTTATTTTATTTATAGTAACTTTTTGAATTTATTTATTTGGAATATTTATTGAGTAGGTGCTTAGGAACTGTGTTTTTTCCTTTATGTTTGTCCCCCTCCTCTTTGGAACTGTTTTAAGATTTGAAGATAAGATGATGAAGGTAAAAAGTCAATCAAGAAGACAAAAATCAATATAAAATTTAAAAATATGCATTTTGGAAAGAAGACTATGAATGAAATGAAATTGAAAACTGATTTTTAAGTGCTATTGTGAATATGAAATATTAAAGAAGGATTTGCACACAAGACGGTAAACTGAAAGAAGTCCAGCGGGTTTTGAGAGGAAGAAAGGCAAGTTGGGAGAGGCAGGAAGGTGCAGATCAGGTAGGATGCCGTAGATCTTGTTTAGAGATTGTTTATTTATTGAGGGCAATGAGGAGAATTTCCAGTAAGGGACTAATGCAAATACATCTTTGGAAACAAATGTATCACTAGTTCCCATGTGGTGCAATAATCAGGTGTGGATAAAGGGAGGAAAAATTAGGAAACCACACCGGAAGGTCAGGTGGACACAGATGGCGGGTGGGTTGGACGATGTTGCGGGGTAAATGGAAGTGCACAGACTTTATAGCTATTTAGAAAGTAGAATTGATGGAACTTGTTATTAATATTAATAGTTATAACCTGGGGCAAGGGAGAACATATTTAAGAATGGCTGGATTTTAGAAATATTCTAAAGCAATTGTGACAGAAAGTGCTGATGAGATTAGATATGGGGTAGAAGAGAAAGAGAAGAATCAAAGGGTGACTACAAATTGTTTAGCCAGAAATAATGGAAGAACAGTATTGTCATTAATTGAGTTAGAGAGGACATTGGTAGAAGAAAGTTTTAAGCAAAAGATCAGGACTCAGACTTGAATTTGTTAAGTTTGAAATGCCCTTTTAAAGCCACAGGACTGGAAGAGATCATTGGGAGATTGAGCGTAAGCAGAAAATAAATAAGGAGTGTCTCCCCTCATTACACATGGAGAGGAAAAAGAAATTGTTAAAGAGCAGTCAGTAAGGGAGGAGGAAATCGAGTCCTAGAAGCCAATCGAAGATGTTTCCATTAAGAGGGAGTGATAAATTTTGTTAAATGCTCCTTAGAAGTCAATTCTGGTGACATATAGGAATTGGCTATCAAAAGTGCTTTATCTCTTCTTCTCCACTCCCTTGAAATTTTAGTAACAGTAATACACACACACACACACACACACACACACACATTACTTTAATAGAGTCACTCTTAGGGCCATGTCTGTGAACTGCACCCACAACGTTGCACTCATCACAAATGTGATTTTTGGTTGGATTCTGCCAGGAGATACCTGTGTAAATTTGTATCTCAACAGTAAGACAGAAGAGATATTAAGCTTAAAGTATACTGAAGGTGGGAACCTGTCAAGAGGTGAACCTCTAGAAACAAGATTTTCTGATTGCATGACAGAAGGCATTCCTGAGCTGCTTGGGGGTACAGAGAAGCTTAGACTTTGCTGAACATCTCAAACTATACTATTAGGTCTAGAGCATGGGCTAAATGTTTTATCAATTAATGAGATAAACAGGGTTATGTCTATATTATTTACTGATATGAAGTTACCTGTATTTTGGTTGTGTGGATACTCTTTAGTTTCAAAGACTTTGAGAAACATATTATTTTGTTTGCTTATTTTCTCCAAAAGTCATAAATTACCTTAGCTATCTGAGACAACTATACTGCCAATTTCAGAAAACGAGACACAGGATTGTGATTCTTATGAAATGACAGCTGAGATGTCATCACAACCATTTAGAGGCTTTTAAATCCTGTCAATTTTGAAAAGGTCTTGACACACTGACATTGACAACAATCCATTGCATTGAAATGACTGCTTTCTGAATGATGTTTTTGGTAGTTGTTTAAAAACAGTTTTATTATAATGATCCAGGATATTTTAATACTCATGTGATTTTGTTAACTGAAAGTTATGCAGGCCAAATTCCTTTTTTCCATACCAGCAGTCTTAAATTGTTTTCAGTTCTCAACAATTTATTTTAGCAGGAAGAATGCATTTTAAAGTGTACCTGTTGGCTCTGTTGTGACCCTAAACTGTGCTTTATATATTTTTACATAATTTGAATGAAAAGTTTCAACTGTGCTCTCACATTCAAATTCGGTGGCCTTTCCTGGTTTAGAATGGATAGCGTGGCGAGACTCATTATGCGAAGGGTGTGCGCAAAAGCAAAACGCCTGACGAAAGATGGGGGGGCGGCGTCTTAGATCTCATTCACAACAGAGCTTAAAAATTACTACTCAAATTAAAGCCATCTATAATCATGTTTTTGGTTACATAATTCTATTTAATCACCACTGATACTTCAAGTATTGCTTCACTTTTGGTATCATTACAGGCGAATGAATATCCTAAGATGTATCCTCAAAGGTGGCTATTGAGAAAAGCTGTTTGTTACATCTAGAAGGAATCCATCCCTGAACAAGACTGTATCCTTTTGTTGTCATTGGCATTGGAGACAGGAATGATGATGCAATTTGGGAGGTAGCACTGACACCTTAGGCTGGGTAAGAGACATGAAAAAAATAGAATTTAAAACAATCTTGATTAGTTGGACAAGTAGTCAAAGCAAAGACAGAATTGAATAGAAACAAGATGCCTCTCCAATTTCTGTGACGATAAAAAAGATGACACATAAAATCATAACATGTGCAGTTTACTAATAATAGATGTACAGAAGCTACAGCGATGCTGGAACAGCTGAAAGGGAGTCAGACTGACTGGTTTCCTTCACCAACTGCAACATGCTCATCTACAGTTAATCTAAGTGGCACAGGGACATAAGAAAGTTAAAGGAACACCTAAGATTTTTGCTTTTGAGTTGAAATGCAGAAATTATTTTTTGAGGAACAGAATTATACTACAGATTATTAGAAGAAATACTCTTGAGATTTTTTCTTCCTAACACCATATTTGAATCTGGGCTTCTTTGTTTAAGAACTTACACAAATTAGAAAGAATATAAGAAGAGAAAAAAGGCTTTTGAGAGAAAGGAAGATAGATTGTATCTGATTAGATAATTTTATGCTTCTGCCTTTATCATGAACATCAAGTTTCGCAGGCTATGTCATAAACACTTAAAGTAAGTAGTAGATCTAGGGAAAGAAATTTGAAACCTAAAAGCATAGGCTGAAGACCTCCCTCCCCATGGACCTTAATGACTGCAGGGCTCATCATTTTATCGATCAGGTTTAGTCCATTGTTCATCCGGAAGATGCGGATGGTTGCGAGGGAGAGCACGATGAGCAGATGAGACGGTGACACAGGTGAGGCTCTGTGCGCAGGTGAGGCTCTATGCGCGGGTGAGGCTCTATGCGCGGGTGAGGCTCTGTGCGCAGGTGAGGCTCTGTGCGCGGGTGAGGCTCTGTGCGCAGGTGAGGCTCTGTGCGCGGGTGAGGCTCTGTGCGCGGGTGAGGCTCTGTGCGGGTACCACCTACAGCTTCTTTAGCTCTGCTTTTCTTCGTCCCTCCCCCACTCCCTCTTCCTCTCTCTTCTTTTTAAAGAGATCTCTTTATTTTAAGATGGAATAAGTAAAAATGTGGAAATCACTGGGATCAAGAAAGTGCAGTTGCTTCAATTTACCCTCAAAGACACAGAGCACTAGGCTGTGTTCACGGCTGGGCTGGTCTTCTAGGCCCAGGCCAGTCTTTTGCTTGGCCATTCTTCCACTTCCTTTCCCTTCCTTCCCTCTTTCTATCTTTTCTTGTTTCCCTCAGTTCTCAAATTTCTGTTCAAAGCTTACTAATTACTTCTTTTGAGATGCATATACCCAGGTCCTCTAGACCCACATTTTTCTGTTGCTTGCAAATGCCTCTGCCTCACCTGGTATTTCCCTGTCACAACTCTCATCAGAGTTTATTGTAATTATTTTTTTACCTGGAGTTTCCCACCAAAATGGTTAGTGTTATCTATTCAGGGACCATGACTCTTTTTTTCTTATCTGCACCAACATAATGTTTAGTAGATAGTAGACATTTAACTATTGATTAATGAACAAAAACTTAGAAAATGAATAAATAAGCAAACTCATTATATCTAGAGATGATTCTATAGTTGGGGGCACTGTTGGCTAGTTAATAACTTGTAGGGCAGAAATAAGACTCGAAATAAGACCAACACATTGAGAAAGTGGCATTTAAAAATATATAAAAAAGTAAGTATAAAATGGAGAATAAAAATTGGCATTACAGTAATAGAAGCAATGCTTCTAGATGCCTATTTTTATGGGCTTCTTTCTACCAAAAATTCATATATCTATTTCTTTCCCCAAGACTCTGTTTAAAAATAACCCTATTTAAAATAAAGGCCTTATCTCCAATATGCTCTCTCACTACTACTATTCAATCATTACATCCTTCCAGATATAATACAAACAATTACAGCCATTTTTTGTGCACTTGTTGCTTTCCATTTTTTCCTAGTTGTATAAACTTTATTTTTAATCTAACTGGAATGAAAAGCTTTTTTGAACCACAACATGATTACTTCTTATTTTATTTTCTTAACATTTCCTTATCGAGAGCTGCCTAGTACAACACCACATTGTGTTATACTTACGTGTTTATTATCTGTTTTCCTGCCTAGCCTGAACTTCCTTTCCATGGAGTGATTTTATCTTACAAGGAGGTAAACAGTAGGCACAGAATAAAAACCATTTATTAATACTGATGTGAAATTAAATGTGAATCAATAAATAACATTGTACCTAATTAAAAGAAACCAAACACAAATATTTAAAAGTGTCTTGCACAAACCTATTAAGATATATTCTCCTTTCTGACTGTAATTTCTTCTTTGTCTTATGACTTATATTGTCCTCATATTTAACAAATAAATTTAAGAATCAAAAATTTTGTATTATTTTTTGACTTAGGAAACTGCTGATGCATTTGTTTCTGGATTGGTGATAATGTAAATTGAATTTATATAATTTTTAAATGTTACACTGTTGGTATGATTTGACACTATTTTCTAATTTCACAAATGACAATAAACATAAAAAAATTATTTTTCATGATGTTTTCCATCTTCTTATGAGCAACTCTCTTTTCAATATAAGGGAATAATGGTATAATTTTAATATAAATATTTAAAATATTCCAAGTTCTTAGCTGAATATAAAAATACTATTTAAGAATCTTCTAAGATAAAAATTTATCTCAAAGCTAAGTAATCTTATTTTATTTAAAAATTTCAAATATTATGAAATGGTTCAAATTAAAGAATATGTAGCTTGTCTAATAATTTTCCCATTTTCAAGTCACTTAGTCAGAATACCTGGCCCATACTATTTTTTTTCCCTGCAGTATTTTCTCCTGAACCCATCTCGGTCCAACTTTAATGAGTAGCCCTTTTTGTTTGAACCTGGTAATTTGTTAATATGTTTTTATATGTGCTCACATTTGCACTTTTATTAAGCCTTTTAAAGTTGCTTGGTTTCAAATATTCTTAAAAGTTAGCTAATGGTTGTTTGCAGGCAGATTAAATATCACTTATTGTGACTTGTTTAAAGAAAGGAACGAAAATTTCTTAAAAACTGTCCTGTAGTTTTTACAAAACCCTACAAATAATATCTCATTTATCATTCTCATTTGTCCTATGTAGATGTATTATTATGCTTTTTTAGATGAATAAGCTGAGGCACAGAGAGATTAAATTGTTTCCCGCAAGATTACACAAACGAGGGCCCAGGATTTTAATCCAGGTCTAGGAATTTCCAGACTTTAGATTTTCTGCTATATCATACTAACTCTTTATTACTTTAGGAACAGATAGAAGATAATACTGTAAAGGAGAGGGCATACAATCCAGCTGAAATTATTATCATCTTTCAGAGAGACCTGAAAGTTCAATTTTCGTGTGTAGTCTTTGCCTATTAGCTCAGGAAACTGACAGTCATTAGAAATGCTCATTTATAGACAGAACTCATTTAGTAAGTTTAAATATAGTCTAATTGTACATTGTCTAGTTGTATCAATTAAAATTATTAAGTCATGCTAGAAATTTTATAGATGAGAAAATAAAGGCACAAGAAGTTGAAAAGAAAGTAAATGGGATTTAATAGACACCTGGAAAACATAACCCTGTCATGGTTCTTTATTTTAGGATTTCCTATGAAGGAAACTGGTTATAATTTAGATTCCTTATAAGAGTCAGTTGTATAACTACAATGGAATATAGAAAAATGGAGAATATTCTCATATGAATCTCACTTGGATTAATTTTCTACTTGTGAAAATCATTATATTTTCCAAGCTACATATCAAATATACCACCCAGTCTTGTCAAGTCTGGCTACTAGGTAATCTAGAATACTTCGTATCATCTTTATCTCCATTGCGGCCTACTTATTGAACCTCATCCTCCACTCCTCTGCTCACATTAGCAATATCAAAGCCTTGCAGTTTCTGCAAAATGCTAGGGAGTTTTATATATCGGTGCTGTATCAATGTGATCTCAGTCTGAAATACTCTTACTTCATTTGATTTCTTCACAAAATATGGCTTATTTTTCACAACCTACTTTTAATCAAACCCTTAACTCTCCAGGTAGATTGAATCACTCTTTTCCACTGTGCTAATAATGAACTTTAAATGTGATTTTATCATCGTATCGCCTATCGCGTATTTGACTAGTTTTATTACATGTCAATCTCTCCTTCCACTTTGTGGACAGAAACTCCAAAAATCAATTTAATGAATAAACATACTAACAGCAGTAATGCATATAACATATAACTGATGGGCTTTAGAGAAATACCTTAAAGACTGCAAGTGGTATAAAATATAACAGGCAAATGCCTTTTAATAATTTGAATTGGAAACAATTAATGGTAAATAATAGGAAAGAAAATAACTATTTCAAATATATATATATATACAGGTATATATGTTTATACCTCTTGTTTTCAATTAATTTTGTCATATCTAATAATAGCATTTTTAGAGACATGACAAGGGATAGTATAATTTATTACTTGAAAATCAGTCATAAATTTAATTATGTTTTATTTAGTCAACAGTAATTAGATGGGCAAATTATAAAAAGTTGTAAAAGTTTATATCCTAAAATAATAACTATACTATTTAGTTAAATTATTACTATAGAAATTTAATTAGGAAGGAAAGTTCAGAAAATAAATAAAACTATTTTGCCAAAATTGATAATTTATGGCATAACTTTGAATTCAGCTATAATCAAAATATCACATTTCTTATTAGAAGAATTTTCATAAACAATGCTTGAGAATGTTATCCTACAGCAATCACTTTTAATTAGATGGATTCATAAAGAAAGAAAAAAATTTTGCTTTCAAACTACTATAACATTAAGTAGGATATCTTTAGGGTTAATTTCAAATTCTTTTAGGGAATGGTACGTTAATCGACTTTGCAAACCTTACCTACCACATTTTCAATTTTCCAGAATTTATTGATTCTTAGATGGTGACTTGTAAATAAATGTTGAAATAGCTTCACAGGAGTTAAAGTTCTTTTTTTTCCTCCTGTGAATTTCAGGTGATGCTTCAGTAGTTTATGTGTCTATTAATGTTATACTAGACTAATATACGCTGCAGTAATTAATGTCCATCTAAAACCTGAACTATGCATATGGTAACTTTTTGTCCTAGATTTTCTTAAAGTGTTTGCATTTCATCTAGTGATTCTATTCTTTGTCCCTGTTAGTACAACTCTCCTCCTCATACCATGAATCCTCGTTTGGGATCAGAACATATATTAATAGAGACTGTCACCCATCAGGACATCAATACTTCACCTCTGCAGGAAAGATGGCAGGTACTGGCAGTTTATTTTTGGTACTGGTAGTTTATTTTTGGTACTGGTAGTTTAATGGAGCTTCCTGTGTCCTTGCTACTTATACATTAAAACGCATCCCTTATATGATATTCAGCAAGAATCCAAAGAAGTTTTAAAATATAAATTGCATCCCTTGACCTTCAACCAGAAGGCACCTTTGTGGGTTAGATGTGTTTCCTGTAGACAGCAGATATGAGGCTTGTGGATTTTTATCCACTCTGGGGGGTGGGGGGACCCACATCTTAGGGATGTGTCGAGGTGGGGGGAAGGGCATACCTCTAACCCTTCTGAGGGAGGCAGAGATATACAATGTAAACAAAATGTCAAAAAACAAAAAACCTTTCATCGGGTGGAGGGCAGGCGGGAGGGGGAGGAGGAGAAGGGTATGTACTTACATAATGGGTGCGGTGCACACCACGGGGGATTGGACACGCTTGAATTTGAATCTCCGGTATGTGTCGGGGGGAGCGGTGGCAGGGGCAATATATGTAACCCTAACAATATCTTGTACCTCCATAATATGATGAAATAGAAGGGAAAAAAATAAAATATAAATTGCTTAAACTTTACAGTGAAAATTAAGAGTATGTGGAGATGATCATGGTTTTGATTCTGGAAATTAAACCAAATATAAATGAAATGTTCCCCATATAAAACACTTTTGGGGGCTGTTATCAGAGTCACTGCAGGTTTCTCCCTGAGGCCCTGTCTAGTTCCCTGATTATAAAGTAGTGCAGGTGGGGTTTGGTCACTTGATACAAGGCCTCACATCTTTGGCTCATTTTCACCATCAAAGAAATGAAGGTAGCAAAACCCCCTTTTGGAAAGTAAGACATTATTACATGCCATAAAATAGACCTCTAAAATATTAAAAATAAATAATTTATACTAGTGGTTACCAGGTGTTTTTCCTCCACACATATTAATTTTAAAAAAGATATTCAAGAATTCTATTTATCCCCCATTGACCTTGTCTTACTCCATGGTTTACATAGTAAAACATAAAAACAAAAAACTGCACTGGAAATTCAACAGCATTTTTAAGGAGAATTTCTGTTGGGTTGACATTAGAGCTGTTTAATTTGAGATATTAGACACTATTTTTAAGATCCTGAATATTGTGTCAAGGAGACAGAAATAGTAGTGGTGTCTCTCCCATAGTAAGTGTTGACAAATATTTTCTGAATCAATGAAAGACAAGAGAACCATCTTAACGAATTTCTGTTGGCACATACTGACATTTCCATCTGAACACAGAGTGACGATTTCATTGCCCTTCATTTGAATGTAATGCTTTCTAATTAAGAGCAGATCTGTTGGGGATGAGCCTTCACCATTCTAAAGTAGTTCACTCACCTCTTTAGGTGCATCAGCTTCAATGAATTCAGAATAAATCATCTTGGCTTTGGAAGCAATTTTTTCTGAATTTTCTGTTTTCTTGAAGTCTTCACAGGCAAGCCAGAATTCAACATTTTCTTCACTAAACTCAGATTTTAGAAATGTTCGAAAAGCATCTAGACCCTCTATAAAATATATAATAACAACTTTTGTATCATATCATACAGAGCAGTAATACTACCAAAATGAATACATTATATAGTATGAGTATTTATTAAGTATTCAATGACAAATATTTATCTTCCCCTAAATATAACATTTGTATGCTTTAGTTTCTAACTATAAAACCTTATTTTATATCACCAATCATAAACTTAAAATATTTATCTCTATATTTCTACAATTAGTTCTATTAACAAAGAAAACCTGGACTTTGTTCTTCCTAGATCTGAGAAGTCTAGGAGTTATGTTCAGGAGAAGAACTTGGTGCTGGTTACTTCATAGGAAAGTCTGTGGACATTGCTTTTTAGACCTATTGCATTGAGTTCAGGTCAAGTTAATGATGTTATGCTAACTTCAGAGTAAGAATGTCTTTGTTGCTATGAGTTGTTGAGGAGACAAAATTTGATGCTAAGGATTAAATTGTGTTGGTTTGGGCTTAAAGCCATGGAGGAAGGGCTGGCATTAATTAGTTTTAGGTGAATGTACTGGCCAACTCTAATCTCTAAACCAACAAAGTTACTGGCAAGATATTTGGTGTGAGTGTTTCTCTCCTTTATATGGTGACAGGAAACTCCATAGGCAAATAAGTGGGATTTTACCCAATGTTGCTTTAAGCAAAATACTGATGCCTCCCATCCCCCTGGTGGTTCAGGTGTTTTCCTTCTGCTCCCAGGTATTCTCCTGAGCATGTACTTCTTCAGAAACTTTAGACCAGGGAATGAGAATGGACCCACTTACTTGCAGACTCATTTTCTTTGGCTTGACTATGATATGCAGTTTTTAAAATTTAATAACCACAGGAAGGGTTTGCAATTTATGATTCCTAAAGGTCTCACTTTATCTTACCTTACTTTCAGCCAAATTTGCACCTTTATTCTTTGCTCCTATAGATATTTGAGTTTGTGACTACCTATTTAGACCCTTCCTTCTCTTCTTTCTTCATCAAAATGTACCCTGAAATATTCATCTTTGGGATTCCCAGAGGTCATTTGAGAAAGCAATTCTTGCTAACTATTTTGAGGCTGAGTGTGGCTGAGAGTGTGCCTCTAGTGAGATATTAGGCTAGAAAGATCATTATCAGACTCTGTCTATGGACCAAACTAAACCAGTATGCTAAGGTCATATTATTGAATTTCATATTTGCACCCTTCTGCTGGCAGCATCTGTTTGTAGGTAAGACTGTGGAAAATATACATCAGTGGAGGAAAATATACATCAGTGCTTTTGCCACTCAGAGGAATTTGCCTTCCAAAACAGTGGTGGTGTTCTCCTCCACCTGCCACAGGCCCCCTTTGCATGTGCTCAGAGCTGCTCCTCCCTTCCTGCAGGCTGAGAGAATCCAAAGTAGGGGAAAAATAAGTTTATAGGGAATCTGGGGATAGGAAAAATTGACTAGAGTAAAAGAAAATACACTGAAAAGTTAATGAAAAGGGGCCTAAGTCAGTTGTTTATGGGTTGCTGTAGATAGAAAGCAAAAGCAAAATTTAGTGAGACAAAATAGAAAAGGGCTTTCTGGAGCAGGATTAGATTGTCTGAAAACACTGGACTAAAAATAGATTTAACAATTTTTTAAAGAAATTATATGAAATAAAGTTAAAATAAATCATTGCAAAAGGTTATCAGGTACCAATTAAAATTCTCAGTAGAAAGATTAGAGAGTGAGGATGTCATTAGTATGTGAACACTATATAAAAATTCAATTAACTACACATTTCTTATATTTAAAAATACATCCAAGAAGCTTTTGTGATATAGATTTAGGCTATAAAAATCCTCTTAGTAATATTCAATTAAAAGTTTTCCTGAATTCACTCCAAACAATAATGAATTTGAGAAGTCTAAACAGAATCGATTCTAAAATGGGATATTTTATATAGAGAATAAAGTATCCTTTAACTACACTGAAAGAACATTGTAGATTCATGCTTGACAATATTTTATATGTGTGTCATCAAGGCCTAGGAAACTTCTTCCTATGAGGGGTATCTACATGCATCCCAGAGAGATGAGAAGTTAGAGATCAAGAAACAATTATTATTTTCCCTTGCTCTCCAGTTTTCATGAAGGGCTACTCTCAAGTAACAATTAATGTCTTCTTTCCTCTGCTCATAACTTGGTTTAAGACACAATTAGACAAAATAAACAATTTAAACAACTAAATCTGGGGCTGGCTATCTCTGTCTTTTATTGACCTACTTGTCTATTATATACATATAGCTTGAATGTTCAAAAGGTGCCAAATGATTTTGCAATAATATGCCTCATGCAATTAGAATCATCCTCTGAGGGCAGTCTCCACAGGACGGAAGAGCTACTGGTTAGACCCATAGGGGGTATTAAATGGAACAAGTCAGCAACTGGCACTGAAAACTATGCTGATGCCTATGCTCAGTACATGCAAAGTATATTCTCAAAGCGACAGAAACAATTAGGTAATTGGCGAGCCGTTTGCTGTTTAAAGCAGTAGAAAGCATGCATGCTATTGCTATTTCTCTGATATTAAAAAAAGCAAAACCAAACAGTTGTTCAGATGAATCTATGACTTTTCTATTGTATGAAATATTTTATACTTTACGTAGCATAAATGAATATATATGAAACATAAAATCCCAGGGAGCTGTGTAGATGACAGAATTTGCCTTCATGTGAACACCCGCCCTGCCTCTCTTTGGTGTGCCGGCCCAGCTCCTCCGCGGGAGCCCGACTCGCGGCCGCGGAAATCATTTGATGAGGCTCTTAGCAAACCTGGTCTGTCCCGCGGATCATAATTAAAGAAAAAGAAAAAAACGTTCAACACTTTACAAAAATGTAATTCCATATTTTTGATTCCTTTAATGTATGGCTTTAGTTGGATTCTGGGAATTATGTGGATTACTTTGTTTATGCTTTAGAAATTAGTCATTTAAGAATAATAAGTTTAGAGTAACTAAATTCATTTAATTCAATTACATTTTATACATAAACAGCTGTGAAGAATTTACTCAACTTTATCATATTTTAAACTGTTCTAATGTATATATTTTTTATTTTAAGAATTTAAATGGAAATGTCATTTGATTTGTACAATTTTACAATACATTATAAACATTTTCTGTATATGTTTCTGTTGTGTTACTTTGTTGCCCTTAGATGAGATAAAACTACTGCAAAGCAGATTATTTATAACACAAACAGAAGCATATATTAATACACAAACACATTAAATGTGTTTGTATTAAATATGTTTGTATTAAATGACATATCAAATATGTTATTCACTAAAAATGAGACTCAGTTGAAATAAGATTTTAAAATACATTTTATTTTCCCCTACAAGACATGTAAAACAAGTGATTTATTTAAATTTCCAACTTTTTCAATGGTTTGTATGTTTCTTTCAACTTGTACCAAAAGCAGTCATGATAAATATCAAATTATAGTGACTTAAGGAAATAGAAAACTTATCACTTGCTTTTTAGAATTTTTGTTTCATTTCAATGTATGGAATTTCTACAAACATCTTCTTTGAGGCCCAACCTAATTCCATTCAGACTTTGGGCCTTTATAAATTTATGACTTAGGAATCTTATATACTTCAAACATTGCTCAAACTCATATTTTATAATATATCAGTGACTTTCAGTATTTACTTATTTACATTTGTTATATTTTAAACCTATTATTAGTTGGCTCTTACCTTCATTGGCTAAAAGTGTGTCCATATTTTCAGACCATGCCATTGTTTCTGTGGTTGGTGACCTGTAGAAACAACATCTACCCTTGACAATAGCATTGTGATCTTTTTCTTCCATAACCAGTAGTAATATTTGCATTGTGAATTACATTGTTCAAAGGAGCTTTGTATCGTCAATTAAACAGCAAAAGGTCAAAAAATTGTATAATACTCTTCCACAGATTATAACTATGGCAACATGAAGTGGGATGCTATTTGACACCAGCAAATGATTTATTAATCTCGCTGACAGTGTTAATAATATTTTCAAGTTCTTAAATTCTAATAAAGGTACAAGAGAGAGATTGCTCTGTGGAGGAATAGTGAATTTCTTCTCAAATATGAGCATATTAATTATTAATTTATGTGGCATTACTCTATTCCTGAAAAGTTACTGTGACAGCAATGGTGATGAATTACTATTTTCTAAATTTTCATAGTATAACAATTACCTATTTCAAAATTTTGTATCTCAAAATATTTTAAAAGTGCAAAGGATTTCTAACATGTGATGATGTTGAAAACATTTGTTCTAGTATTTCATGAAGTCTTCACCCCACTCTGAGGCAGCCTTTATTTCTCCTTAGACTGATATACTTCTAGTTCTGGGCTGATTTATTTAAATTTAGGAATCTGTCAAGACAGTAATATCTTTTCCAAAGCACTCAAAAAGTTTATAGACTTAAGTCTTCGGAAGAAGGTATGCTTTTTTGGGGGGGTAGGGGGATGTGATGTAGAAATAATAAATCAAGTTTAAGATACAAACTTTCTGAGATGCAAATATATCATGCATTATTCCTCTTAACAAAAAAGATCCTGAGGAAAGAAGCCCCCATCCATAGAAAGCATCTGCTGCCCAGAAAAAAACATGTGGATTATGTTGCTGTGATGTGCAAATAACTTCTTTATGGAAAGAGACGGTCCAGTTTAAGGTTTTTATTTAAATGCTCAATGATAAAATAGAATCTCATATCTAGTAATTCTTATAAAATTTTGCATTTGCACATCAAAGTGACTAATCTTAAATACGCTAGTGTGAAGTGATCCCTATAATTTTATATTCTTATTATTTCCTGTAATTTGCCACAGTTTTAAAATTTTTTCTTAGGATTGGTTATGCTTCCTTCTGTTGTTGCACTTGTCATTGTATCCTTGGATGGTGATGGTTATTCTCACCCAGGACACACGGAGGGGATTATGTGACTGGGAATTCATTTTGCTATCTTCCATTACATACATTTCAATCTTAAATTTCCTTCCCCGGTTGGGGGTAACTGACTTCCATTTCTCCCTTGACTTACTAAATCTTGGGGACACCAATTAACCATGGAAGCCATTTTGACATGGTGGATCTTTATTCAGATGGACATTTTTGAAGATTTGTGCTGTTGTTCAGTCTCTAACTTTTATAAATGGAGGATGAGACTGATCGTAGGTTTGATTTACATTGAAAAGCTTTTGTGCAATATAACCTGTTATTTGAATAAGCTTATGTTGTATTTCATAAAACTCAAATAGTAGATCTTGTAGGAATTCTAAAATTAACATATGGTCATGTAAAATGCCCATGTTTAAAAAATATTTCTATTTGTAGACTGGACTTTGGTGATTGGCGGGATATTCAAATTAAAGCTCCTTAGTCCCTGTGGAACATATGCTAATGGAGAGGGCACACAGAACACCCATGTTGAATGGGGAGCGGCCACTCAGGGAAAACACGGAGGAATAGAACCCAGGCAAATTCATTCACGGATGGATGTCTGCATCCCCATTATCACGTGAGTTCTCTGATGGCAGGACTAAATGCCACTTGCTAGCACTGAGAACAGTGTGTCTGATCAGAGAGATATTTATTGAACAAGTTAATAAATAATCAATAAACACCAAATAATGGCAGGTATTAAAGCCTTCAGTGGAAGAGGGGCAGTGGCTTTTAAGATGCTGGTAGATTACCATGCTAGGGGAGTATGGAAAGGGATAGCTGAACTGTATTCGCTTCAGAGACCTAGGGTGTTCTGGGCAAGAGAGGGGGAGAAATGATGTGAAAACTTCCTGGGGAGCAGCAGATCCCATGAACCTTAACCCTGAGCTATGTCACATTAGAGAGAATGACCAACATGCATCCTGGAAGGCATCAGGACAAGTCACGTCCTCTAGAGAGAGCCAGATTTTGTTTAAGTCAAAAGCAAAAAGACTATTCCACAAAGAGCTCTTTGAATATAGAGGAGTATTTGTAGAATGGGTGTTGAAATACATGGTAGCCATTCTTACTGTCCCCTCAATGCAGGAAAACCATAAAAACATAAAGAAGAAAGCAAAGTCTGGGAGATCATGTATAACCAGGGATAAAAGAAACAGTCCTAATGTTTTGAATTCTAGAGAGATACTAAAATATATAGATATTTTATAGACATAGGTATGGAATATTTTAGATAATAGAATTGGAGATACTAGGATATTCTAGTATTAATTAAGGTCTGCAAAATGCTAACATTGTTGTAAAGAGAAAAAAATTTCCTTTCAACTCTCTGAAGAAACATCCCAGCTGGTGTGTGATAATGCCTGGAATGCCCTCAGCTCCCTAGTTGCTAACCTAATTCTCACCCAGAAGGTTCAATTTTGATTATTGATGTGCTTAAAGGGTTAGAGGTAATGCAGATTTACTTTTCAGAAAGTAAGTGAAATGTAACTATTATAAGGAATAATGCTTGTTTGTTGCCATTTAAATTTGTAAAAAATACAAATGGTTTCCTCGTATATTTGTAATTCTGTGGAAGAGCAAATTATTGGTATTTATGAATGAACTGAAAGACAATATTTCTAACAGCAGTAAAATGCACAAGCATGTATTGAATGTGTACAATGTACACCAATGCATGTCATATAGTTAATCTTATTTACTCTTGAAAATAATAATCTGTTTTATTCCTGTGTTATCAATGATTAAAGAGACTCAGAGATGCTAATAACCAGAACAATATTCTACAGACAGTGGTGATGAGTAGAGTTACAAATGAAACACAGGTACATCTGCTTATAACCCAAATCCTTTTCACACTTCTTCCTAATATGAATGAGTTAATGCATATATGCTTATATTTTTTTATGTTTTGGAACATTTATAATAACTATGTGGAAGACGATTTTTCTACAATAGACTTTTATCATACTTCACACAAATATTTCCTTGAAATAATAGTTAAATTGTGGTAACTTACTACTCAGTAGAAAGTTTATGTAAGACAGAGATTCTTAAGGCTCATACATTATCAAATAATAATAGGTCATTTCTTATATTAGATGTGAATTAGAAATAGGCTTTTCTGTTTTAATAATGCAACTACATAAATATTAAGAAAGTAGTCTATTAAATAAATATTGGGGAAGAAGAGGGTGACTAATTTAAGTGGACTGAGTTGGTTGGCTCTACTTGCCATGTGTTACCTGAAATAAATGCTCCCTCATTTCTTTTTTCATCTTTAATTTGGATTTTAGTGAAAACTTTACCAGAGGTTTTACCTAGCTCTTCTCATTTCTGTGTGTTTCTTTCCTATAAAATTGTGATTCATAATCAGAATAACTTTTTGTGTGTATATGTTTTGCCTTGAAAATTCACTGTGAATCTGAAGCCAAAATTGCACTTAGTATTTCACAGGGTTTTGGCTGACTTCCTTTCTGTTTTCTTCATTAATCGGATGCCATCAAGGCCAGCAGTGCCCATATCGTATGTCCGGAGAAGACCAGGCCAGATGGGAACTGCGTGAAAGCTACCAGTTATCTTGCTAATTGAGCCAGCTAGAGCCAGTTGTATTGCATTAAAAAATGTGGAATCCAACAACTTCGCTGTTCACACTCAATTAGCAGTGTGCTGGAGAATGGAAAATTCAAGCAAGGAGTCCATGTGCTCTGGGAAGTGACAGCTGCTTCCTTACCCAGCATTTAATATCCATGTAAAAATTTTTCAATAAATATTGTGAAGATAATTTTTGCAAGGATCATATATATGTTATGTCTCTAACCCACTTCATAATTTTGAAAAACATCACATAAAGAGAGCTCAGTGGTCTTTCTCCTTTTATAACCTTGCATTAGCACATAAAGAATTAATTGCACAAGTAAGACACAAATTGTTGACATTTTACAAAAGAAGCAATCAGTAGAGAAAGGAGAAAAAATAAATCAGAAAGAAAGACAATTAGCATATATATCATAAATGAAGGAAACAAAACATCTAGACTAATGAAGACTCAAGTGTTTCATTTGTGCATCTTCTGGGGTAAAAATAGCTTTAAACAGCAACTCACTTCACTGGCATTTTTCGTTCCACTGTCTGACTGTCACAGATGACGCTGAATTTCTCTTTCTGACTGATCTTCGAGCTGAAGGTAATGTGACAGCAGGAACATTATGATTAGTATGCAAATACTTGTCCCCAGGGTTACAAATTGGCACTCTTTAAATCATGCTATTCTCAGATTTTTTCATTTTGTTGTTAACTTTTCATTGGTCAAAATGGTTAAACTTCTTAGTAACAAATAATTGAATAAATGTGACATTTCTTTGAGTCTGTGGCATAACTGAAATAAATTCCATTTGAAAGTTTGTTTTCTAGAGTTCATGTACATCTGTTTACAAGACAACTATTGTTCACCTAAGGTTAAATTAATATATATATTATGGAATATACATTTAAATATATATATTTAATAATATAATTACTATTATATTATTAGGTCTTTCATCTGCCTAAAAGATCAATTTGTTTTCCTTTACTCTTGGATTTTTCAGAAAGTCTGAGGAAGGCTCTACTTTTAATACACTTATCTTAAACATGTGTGTATGTTTAAGTATTTAAAAAATTTCATTCATGGGCTAAAATGCTCTAGTGCAAGATGTTATACTTTTCTTTGAAATTTATGCAGTTTTTTATGGCTTAATAGCATGCATTTCTCTTTTACTTTTAACCAGGAATCTCATGGTATTTTATGGCAATATTCTTTATGCAGTGCTGATGTTCAAGGTAATAATGCTGACATATTTAGCAAAATAAAGGCCACATATTTATATTTTTAACTGTATTGAAAGTTTTATAATTCCATGCTTTATCAAACTTTTAACTCAATGTAATCAAGTTCATTGGTAGTAAAATTCTATCAGTATATATGACCCTCAATGTCAATTAAACACTCTTGAAAGATTTAGGATTTTCAGGGTGGAAGAAAGTAGTCAGAAGAAGGCACAAAATCTACTTCTCCCTGATTTAGCATTAAAGTGTCTACATTTATTTAGTTGGTCTGTAGAAATGTCTACTGTGTAAGTGGCTCTGGACTAATGCGGCTGAGAAGTAGAAAAGTTGACCTAAAAAGTCAGTGTATCATTAAGAAGGGAAATCATCAATTAGCTCGATCCATTTTGTTAATTCAAGCACCATTAAGTAATGTTCTTGCTATGCAAAAACTGAATCATTAAACATATTTTGACTTTTTTGTTTTGCTGAGGGGGAATAATAAAGTACTAACTTTATAGTATATATTTGAAAATACTACATTTTGAAAAATAAACTCTCAAGATTTAAAGACCCTCTTGGTAAAAACCATGCAGAATCTTTAAGAAATAGGAACCAGGAATAGTCTTATTTTATTAATACATTAAAACAAAAATTGAAATTTCTATTTTTAGTTCGATGGAATTATAAAGATACTTCTCATAAATTCTGACATAAATGACAATTATTATTTGTCTAATGTGCACGCTCCATTCCTTTCAAGACTCTTTAGTGTTCAGGAAAAAGCAGGAATTGGACTTCATTTACCAAACTGAAGGCTTATAATACAAAGAGCAGGTGAGGAAATAAACTTTATTCTTATTTCTTTAGACTTTACTCTTGGGGATAGTGTTGAGAACACCCTGGGGGAAGCGGCCACGCGTAGATATCGCGGGACGTCGGCGGCGGCGGGATGACGCCCCGCCGCGGCACGTCGGTGTCCTGACGTCGGTGTCCTGACGCCGGAGACCTGGACGTGTTCCCGTGCGGGACAAAAGGGGTGCTGATTGTCCTATGTTGTCCTGGTAGATCCCGTGTAATTACCTGGGCTTCTTAAGAAGGGAGGCAGGATCTTGCAGTCAGAGAGGGGTACATGAGGCCGAAAGGAAGAGGCTGGGGTGCTGTGGGGCGCGGGCCGGGGCCAAGGATCAGGAAGCCCAGCCGAAAAGGCAGGGAAGTGGGGTCTCCCCTCGGAGCCTCCAGAAGCGACCAGCCCTGGCAATACCTTGATTTTAGCCCAGGGAGGCTGATTTTGGACTTCCGGTTCCCTGCACCCTAGGATAATAAATTTGCATTGTTTTAAGACACTAGGTTTATGATAGTTTGCTATAGCAGCAATAGAAAACTAATACATCCAGGGAACTCCTGTTTTTAAAACTCTGCTTAAAAGAAGATAGTAATGTAATAAAATAGGCATAAATTTTGAGATCATAGCAGTCCACATATGTAAATGTAGACTCTTCCTGTTGGACAATAATCTTAACTTGAGTCTCTTTGCTACTGACATGGAGATAGTACTTATTTGACAAGGTTATTTTGTGAAATGAAAAGGAAATATACACATCCTACATAGGGCTATTTAGATATATTTTGTTTTATTTCCTCTCCTCTTATTTGACATTCACAAAACCATAGTTAAAATATTAGTATGGAAGATGGCATGGACAACACTATTCATCATGCAACCAGCAGGGGTTTCTGTGCAAGGGTATGAGATTTACTCCACAAATCTTTTGAGTGCTTACGGTGTACAAGGAATCATGATGAGTGGTGTAGGCATACGCAGCTTTCATCAGACAATATGAAATTGATAATTAACATAATGGGGGTTTTTGTGGAATGAATTGGAAGACTGTGAGAAAAAGCTAGGTAGGAGAGTTAAAGATCATATTGCACTCCACAGTTATGTATAATTTTTATTTGTCAATTAAAAATTAATTAACTAATTTAAAAAATAAAGAGGAATTGACAGAATCATAGAAGATTTTTGTTGTTGTTATTGTTGTTTTTACTTTTTGAGACAGAGTCTCACTCTGTTGCCTGGGCTAGAGTGCTGTGGTGTCAGCCTAGCTCACAGCAACCTCAAACTCCCGGGCTCAAGCGACCCTCCTGCCTCAGCCTCCTGAGTAGCTGGGACTTCAGGTACGTGCCACCATGCCCGTCTAATTTTTTTCTGTATATTTTTAGTTGGCCAGTTAATTTGTTTCTATTTATAGTAGAGATGGGTCTCACTCTTTCTCAGGCTGGTTTCGAACTCCTGACCTTGAGCGATCCTCCCCCGCTTTGGCCTCCCAGAGAGCTAGGATTATAGGTGTGAGCCACCGCGCCAGGCCAGATGATTGTTTTTAATTTTTAGTTTATGCATTAAGTAAATGACAAAAATTATAGTTATAAACCACATTTTAGAGCTTTTGGGAACTGAACTCTGCAGTCAATTTAAACAGTAACAAGGTTCTTTGTCCTTGAAATTGTAATAAAAATTTTGAGAAGTTAAAAAAGGCTAGCACAATGGTCCCTCAAGAGGGGACAGTACTGGACGAGGGCAGGTGCAGAGGGATGGGACAGTGGGCTTCAGCCTTGTAGGGCGGCTGGGGCGGGAAGGATCAAAGGGGTAGATTTCAAACCCAATAGCTAGGGCGGCTGGTGTTCCCACTCATGACCAAGGCAATACAAACCAAAACAAAACAAAACAACCCCATCAGGGTTAGGGAAGTTGATATGTGAAAAAAAAAGTTTAGAAATACACAGAATGTTTAGACAGTTTGACTAACATTCCTGCCAGACAGAGGCCCCAGCATTTTTACAGCCTATTCAAAGACAAGACAGAGCTTTTACATCTGTATGAGGCCTCTCTGTTAGCTTATAACATGGCTGCTATTTACACTTCATTGCTAAAGGTAGGAGAAAAATTCATAAGAATTTAATTCTACTAACTGCATAATTTAGTCCAAGCAATAGCACGTCATTTATTTTGATGTAAGCGCTAGACAATGTTCACATATTTAAAAAAAAATAATGCTAAATTGATTGTATGGTATCCAAGTGACATTTGTCATGAAGGATTTAAAAAAAAATCAATAATAGTTAAAATACTGAGACAGGAGGATCACAAAAGGACAGGAATTTGAGACCCACCTGGGCAATATAGTGAGACCCTATTTCTAAAATAATTTTTAAAAATTAGCTGAAATGGTGGCTTGCACCTGTAGCCCCTGCTCCTCCGGGAGGCGGGGGCAGAAGGAGAGGTTCACTTGAGCCAAGGAGCTCAAGGCTGCTGTGAGCTATGATTGTGCCACTGCATTCCAGCCTGGGTGACAGAGCAAGAGACCCCACCTTTATAATGAAAATAATTGAGCACTTTAATAATAGTTAAAATACATTGATCACATATATCAGAAACTTCTCAATCATTATGTCCTTAGTCATTATTCTATGAGATGGATAATATTTTTTATCTCCATTTTACATGCGAAGAAACTAAGACTCAAGGTCAAATAACTGGCTTAGGTTTACATAACTAGAATGTTAGAAAGGAATGGAGCGAGGCTGAGTAGGGGAATTTGCTATTTAAGTGGTGGTGATAGGTAAACCTGTTAGATTTAGTTTAACATGGAAATGGCTAAGAAAAAATAGAGCATTTATTCAATATATATTTAAATCCCATAGTATCTGCTGTATATAGAGGAACACCTATTTTTAAGACTAGAAAGGGCACATGAACAGGGGGAGCAAGACAGAGCACAATAAGCCAGAGAAAGAAAGATGAAGGGTACAGAGTGGTGTAGAATTTCCTTTAAGAACGCTGTTCACAGCCTTTAGGGAAAAAGAATAATCAAGAGGTCAGATGACAAAGAGATGTTAAGAAGAGTGATGAATGATAAAATACCATGGAGTTTGCCAATGGTCACTGGGAGAACAAAGGAGACCAACTAGAATAAGATTAGATGAGCGAGTTAGTTCTCAGTAAAATTGCACTGATATTAGTTTATATTATGTTTCTATTCAAGAAAGGAAGGATTAATTATTTTTATACAATTGTCTTCCTAGATTTATATAATAGGGTTACACAAGCAGTTTATTTTAGGACTAAATAATTTAAAAGTTAATTTTCTTTTTATAAACAGAAGAGAAGAGAAAATTATATTTTCTTGATTCTGCTTTGCCTCAAGTTACTGCTAGATGAGGTACAATTTATAATGCAATGTGCCTGAGTTTTGTATGGTTCATAAATTATTTCTGAGAGCAATTCTAAAGCAGAAGTTAGAAATGTT